AAATGAAAATATCTGAATAACTTGCCGCTTATCCTATCCAACAACTAAACTACTCTGTTGCAGGAATGGTGCGATCTACCTGGACGGCTGTCTGGACAAATTTCACAAAGAATATATTAGCTCGGCGTGGAACTAGCCATCTTCTCACCTTATATCTTTCTTCCATAACGTAAATAGATGAACAATAGTACACTGCACGCGCATACTTTGTTGGTCTTTCCTGCCGGCTCCAGTGTAAACAGCAGGGTGCTTGTGACTGAATCAGCCACGAACATAGGACGACATTTTCAACAGAGCGCAGATTTTCAATTTCACTGGAAATAAAACTGGAATTGTCTCTTGAACTCAGTTTCGACAGGAGAAGCACAGCTCCTACTTGCGAAGACTTTAACAATGACTACTTCCTGTCTACACATTACAGCTTTCACTTCTAATCTTGAAAAATTGCCTTTAAAAATTCGTGATGAAACTGATTGATCTGGGGTAGCTCTTACAATCGCTGTTCACATGCAGCCGGCCAAATGGTTTAAAAGAATTAACAAGAATTTAAGAGAATGTTAGAACCAGGCCAGGTCCAAGCCTCCACTTCATTGACTTTACCGAATCGACTGGATTGACTTGTCTGTGCATTTGAGAAAAGAGGGATAGGCAAAATAAGTGCGTATATTTCAAGGAGTATGTAACCTAAGAAATAGGGGTTCCTTTTCCTTCTACTGGTGTGGCATTCGCCATGACCTTCTGCCGCTTTCGCTTGGCTTGATGGCGTTGGTGTCGATCCCTGATGCGCTTGTGCGCCTCCTCTTTACTCCTCTCATAGGCATCAACACCACTCATACTGATGAAGCTCTTTCCCATCTCCATCAGCATCTGCAACCGTGGGAACCAACCTTGAGAGAAATGCATTAAGTTGGTGGGAGGAAAGAAACCATGTAACTTCCCAATGAGACTTCCCGTACTCATGAACCTCACCTATGAATGTCCAATGAAAATCACAATTTGAGCTAATGACGCTAGTCCAACACAACTTCCGATTCCATCGTGGACTTGGTTTAGGTAATGCATTTTCAGCCTCCAAAACTGACCTCACCCTTCAAGAAAGCTAAGCTGGCAAAGTATCTTGATCGAGCCTTCTCTAACTATAAATGACGACGAGGAGACGGAATCGCTCGATTTGAAAATAAATGCGGCTGACGAGCGCAACAAGGTAGGATCAAAACATATGAAATGTTTAGGAATGACTTCCCAAGTAATGGTCTACTACCAAATGAAGGTGGCTGCAGGTTAGCAGAAGACCAAAACGCGCCCTAGACGGCTGAGTTGGTTGACTAAAGTGTCTCGAACTGGGAGCTGTCTGGACCTTAACATTAAACCACGTATATAGTTATATTAGCTACGATCCATTTACAAACACTGCACCACTTGGTGGAAAGATTGATCTCTAGACAGGATCTCAGAGGATCGTATCTCCTTGCCGAAATTGCAATCTTTTGGTTGCCGCGACAATGTAAGACTGCAGCATTTACCGAGTTCAAGTATCGCTGGTGTGGAAACCAGGAGGTGGACCTCAACACATCCCACGATACAAGATTGGTTTATACTACCCTAGTTATGACTTACCGTTACACTGTACATGTGGCCATTGCCTGAATCGCTACGTGACAGTCTGAGTGGTCTACCGATGATGTCATCGAACAAGAAGCTTCAAATCTAAACAACTCCACTGTTCCATTTCGTGTTTCAAAACACAGACATAACTTGTGTATTTTGAGCATCCACGATGACCACCGAGGGTATTATTACATAGGAGAAGCCAAAAAAGGATCCGACCAGATTTGAGTGTAAACCAAAAAGATATGCAAGCTTACCGCAACGGAGTGATTTTGATGCGAGAAATAAAAATCCAACGTTAAAAAAGCCATATGTAGGTAAAGCTTGGAACTTACCATTCTCAGTCGTTAATTCGGGCGGCAATGCATCCCACTCCCTCATCTAAAATTGATAAACAACGCTGACGTCAATTGATCAGTAGCTTTATGAGGATTGGAATACAACATGCTGCAAACCTGACTCCATTCCAAAGCAGAATCTCGACAGTACACAACAGTCCAAGACACAAATCGCGAAAGAGGTTCTGTCATACAAACCACCTCAAAGTCCTTTTCAGTAATTCTGTGGTTGACTACACAACAGTCAACAAAGTGCTCATTTCGGGGACAGAGGACTCCGCTAACGAATGCATCGTTGGTATCATCCCTTGCGAAAGTAGAAAAGTCCTCAGAGAGCTTCACAGTAACAATGCAATCATGTCTGCAAAGAGAATTGGTAGGTTAATGCACGGACCGACACACAAAACGTACGATCGAACTCCCAGTACAATTGTGCATCCAATAATAATTAAACGCGGAGCGAGAAATTCTTGGTTCTCATTATCCATCACACAACCCCGTATACTATTCAAATGAGGAACAAGTTTAATTGCATCCAACTCCTGTCCCTCGAGAGCATGCCAAAGGCGAACAAATCCATCCTACAAAAAACATTGGGTGATTAATCTAATAAACTGATAAACGAAAATATGTTGAGATAAAAACGACTTACGCCAGCAACAGATACCATATGATTATCGTCGAGAAAAGCAATCCCGAAAATCGACCTAGTGAGAGGATAAAACACTAGAAAGACCAACTTTGTGTGGCCGAGACAAAATGACTCAATGACATGAGGCTGAGAGGAGCGACTGATGCGAATCTTTTCATCTCGATCACATGAACCGAGGAGTCGACCTTCTTTATTTAAGGCCTGAAAAAGAGTTTCGTTAGAAAAGATGTGAACATCACTGGGAAGCAGGACTGACTTACGATGCCTGTGAGAAGTGAAAGATGTCCAATAAGTGTATCTTCATTATCTATTTGGACAGAATTTGACTTATTTCCATCAAGAGGAACACGGACAACGTAACCCGATTTCTCACCAAGAAGAACTGATTGCTCATCAGGCATGAAGGCAAGACACCCAACCTTCTTTTTGAGATTCCTAGTCATACAAACCCTGTTAAAATAATACACAGTTACTGTTTGCTCAACAAATTCCAGGATCTCCCATCGAATTGAAATGTTCTCAGGATTTTATTTGTATCACAAACCGCAAAAAGGCGACCAGAAGTGGAAAGACAACAACATAAAGCACCCTTGTAGCGTGCTAGGTCTGTATTCTCCCTATACATCCAAGCTTATTAAGCATTTTGTGTACAAGCATTACCCATTATCTTCAGGATCAGCTTTTAGAAAAGAATATGATGAACTGAAATTTGAGAAATTATTTCCTCTGTCTTACCCCTGATCAAAACACGCAACAACACTTCCCGCGGCAACCAAAATCCTCGAACCGTCAGGCAGAGATGCAAGCATGCTCTATTGATGCCAAAAAAGCGCATAACGCTCTTGACCTTACTGTGAACTTGACGTTATCGAATACTCCTTTGAGCACTAAGTCGAAAAAAAGGTATACCCAAAATGAATAGCAAAGCCTGCCAAATTGTTTGCTAAAATTGATGCAATGCATGAATATTTCTGCTGAAATAATTAATTGAACCAAAATCACTGGCGCCAAAGGCCCCTTTAACATTAATTTACCAAGATCTCATATAATCATAAGCGCATTATCTATGAGGAGTCACTTTATGACTGTTGTTGCTGCGTAATTTGGTTCAGAAAACCATTGATAATCTGCTATTTAAAATATTCGCTTGATTATTGCCAACCTTTTTGCTTATACAAAAGAATTGGCTTAAGTTTCATTAATATCGACCGTTGTCGACATGTGTTTGTAACTCCTAATCATTCCTAAATCCAAGGTCATGACTTCCGAGGCTTCTCCAACCTGGTTCTGGTACCCGAGGCGGCGCGTTGGTTCCCGGTGGGTCGTCTTCTCTTGCTGTAGCATGTATAAACTTGTCTGGAGATGACAAGAATTGCATCAAGTGTTTTTGGTGGTTCATTTTCTTTCTCGCTCTTACTCAGAGACACAAATCAAGGCTATTGAGTGGGCGCAGTGTAACACATGTTTGCATTTCAAAGTTTATTCAGTCTCCTCGTTGATCGGTGAGATGTGTTAAGCGTAAGCTACCACCTTAAATTCTTAGGCTATCATTGAAATTATTACCAATTCAGCGATCTATTATTGGCCGCCGCACAGTTTGTCCTCTCACTATTCTTGTTTGATTTGCCGTCAAAATATTTAATCACCTTAGCTTTAACTCTTTCAAAAATCAGCGTCTTGGTTTGTAGCTATTCTGCTCTTGTGAAACCATTCATTTTTGCCGTGTTCCTATCGGGCTTAGATTGCGTGTTTGATTACCTTCTGTGTTTTGACCCCTTTCCCATACATCTGAACGTTTTCACAATTGCAAACCTTGTTTGCATTGTTTACCCCGCTTTTGGCAGATTCACATTTTACTCAACTCAAACACCTATTCACATTCATGAATGTATTGGAGCATCCTTAAAAATCTCATTTCACTGTTTACTTTTCACCCTTATTTCATCTTTTCGAATTGCTTTCTTAGTTATGATAGAAGATCACGACTTGGCCTTCGATCTCCTTGAGGCCGCACATCAGGTATGGTCTCCCATTATGTCTCATTCCTCCCTCCAAAACAGGTTATGTCTTCAGCTGCTTCTCGCCTCTCTACTGATTTGCAAGCGAGGTATGCGAGTGTTATTTCGTAGTCACTTATCAAAACTGGCCTATAGTGTTACACCACGGAAGAATATGTGGGGTATTTATATAATTGATAGAGCACTATGTCATGACAGCAAAGTCGAGGAACTCGTGTAAGAAACCTCTCAGCTTATTTAAATATTTTATTCGGTGGGTGTTACATCATGCTTGGTGCTCCAAATAAATGGCCATAGACCACGACTTTTGTCTATCTCCATTCAGTTTAACTGCTAAGAATGTGAATCACGTAATAATCGTGAGAAGGACTCGTCGTTAGTTAGCTATTATTATCCCATGATGGAAGTTTTCAGATTGTTTGAGTTATTCGTTTGTTGTTTTATTGCTCCGTTGTGGGACTGACAAG